GGGGGGGGGAAGGGTGGCTACGACTTCTGTCTTTGTTTAGTTTTGTCAGAGATGCCATTCCCGTAGATGGAATTGACCGCACCATTATCTTGAGCAAAAGTCACTCTTAAATTTCCAAGGGATTCAGTGGCAGTCTGTATTTGGATTAAGATGCTGTAATGGGACTGAATAAGCCCCTAAACAGGGGAAGTCCTCTGGAAAACTTGAAAAGCTTTAGAGAAAATATAGTGAAAAATGTTTGCCATTTGCTCTGTTGCTCTAGTTAGAAGCATTAGAGATTACTTTCTCTATTGGGATGTAAAGAACATATTATTGGGCTCTCACATTTTATTTCTAAAAATAAGTGGAATCTCACTGGGTATCTCTTTCCCAGTGTTCCCTGGTTGAATGAGATTAATTATTCCAAGTTACCACAATTCTTGCAATTCACAGCTTGCAAATAATGGAGATATTCCTATATCTTCATTTATGTTGTGATGCTTCAGGCTGAAGACTTAGAGTATTCCTCTACTCATGCCAGCTAGAATTTATCCTGCTGACTTGTAAATCTGAGTAGGTTTGGGATCAGAATTCTGGAACTGGGTATAGACTATAACAAAACGAGAGGCATTTAGGCTTGGTTTTGTTTTTTCTACTAATTTGATAGGAAATATTATATACAAAATTCTCTGGTTTCATCTGTATTTTTTCCAAACTCTTCCGCTGTGTTTCTTAGATTGTTCTTTGTTGCTTGTGACAAAAAACTTACAATCAGTAAAACAATAATTTTTTAATTTGTAAAACCTGATGGTTACATGTTGAACCTTCTAAAGAAGACAGCACTTCAGAGAATGAAATTGTGACCTCTCTTGGGTCTAATTAAGGTCAAATGGCACAAATTAAGCTTTCATTACTCGCATTTGGTATTTTTTTTAGCTTTGTTTAAAGAGCTTGGAAAACATTCAGTGTCTGGACCATTTATGGAACTGGGGGTAAAGCAAACTAATCAGAATTTTTTCCCCTAGAAAGCTGAACTAATTTATTTTTATTGGAAGTCCGAAGTTCCTTCTCTTTTGCTGAAAGATGATAGTGTTTATGTAATGGTTTTGTAAGATTTAACAAAGCCTAGTGTGTGACTCTTGGGTTATGGATGCTTTTGTCTTGTCCCATGATTCCTGTTTCACTAAAACCTGAGCCAAGACTATTTCTGGTTCTCCCATCTCGAAGCAATGACACCATGTTTGCCATAAACCAATTCAGGATACAGGGAAGTCGATCCTCCAGTGTGTATTTTGAAGTGCTGAAGCACAGAGGGTGTTGACAAAATGTAAACATTTTTATATCCTATTTCATGTCACTAGTTTAGAATTTTATTTGGGTTTTTATTGGCAAAGTTGATCAGATATCAGTCACAGTCAAAGCTGCATTAATCATTTTTAACGCATCTATGGAGGATGGTGTGAATGTGATAAAATAAGACTTTTTAAAAAATCTGACGAGTGCAAACAGATGACGGGTGACAGTGATATTTTCAGTACAAGCTGGGAAACTGCTTTCTTTTGGATCTCTTACCTCTCCTAACATTTTAAAGGAAGAAGATGCAAGACAAAACCTGTCCTCCTATGCCAATCATTTCAGAATACATTTCTCTAAAAATATTAATGTAAATATGTAAGAAGAAGGAAAAAAAAAAAAGTTAGAGGAACGAAGCTGGCCCAGGCACAGTTTTCCTGCTTGTATTTAGAGAACTGGGGTTTTTTTGTGTTTTGTTTTGGTTTTTTGTTGTTGTTGTTGTTTTTTTTTTTAGTTTGGAGCCTTGTGTGATGTTTAAATACCAAAGATGATAAAGCTAAAGCTAAAGGATATTTCTTACAGTCCAGATGGTGATGTCCACTGGTGCCTACTTAGCTAATAAAGATTAGAGGCAGACTGAGACTTTGATCTGGATATGATTTAACACTAAATATACACCCACTACCTTGATGAAATGATGGAAGGCGATACAATCATTTTCTAAGATATGAATTAAATTTTTCTATAATTGTAGTCTAGATTGCAGGATAGCTGTAAAAGTGCTGGAATCATACAGAACAGACTAACTTCTGAAATGTGACTATTTTGCTTTGTCTTCTGTGTTTTCACAATACTGAAATATGATGGTGTTATTCAGTAAACAAACTCAATACCTTCTTACGCAGCTTTGGGCTTTGTTGCGAATCCCTTGAGAGCTCCAAGGGTGCCATCATAGTAACAGATATCTTTGAATGCACTAGGAGATGTCAAAGTCTGGCTTACAGCCCTCTCCAAGTCTTCTTTCACGGCTAGTGTTGCCAGCAGTTTGTCACTCTCGGTCGTCCACCAGAAGCAGCAGAGGAAAGTGGTGTTTTCCATGTCCTAATCTCTGCTTCACCTACTTTTCTGCCTGTGTTGGTAGAATCAGGTGTTTTCTCTTGGTGTTGTATAATATTGCTCCTTCTTGTGCTACCTGAGCATTTTTGATGCAAAATTGAAAGGACTGAAAAATGTCAGTGGAAGTTTAGCAAGCATTTTATTTCAATGGCTATTGGTATAGCAGGCTTGAGGAACTGGGTCTGCCTACACTTAATCTTCTAATTTATTCTAAATTTGCTATGAAATGTATAGCCGATTCACTTCTAACCAGTGAGAAAAGACCCTTTACAATATGCACAGCTAAAGGAAACTTCTTATTCTCTGTGGTGATTCATGCTACAAAGTATTTCCATTGTCGGAATAAAAATGGAAATCAGGAGCTTGTTGTAGAAAGTTAATTCCCAGTGAGCAATTATCTATGTGACAAACCAACCTTGTAATTGGCACTTCTGTTGGCAATCTCCATAGAAAAGTAAAGGATTGACAGAACCCAAAGGCAGTGTCTTGTGGGGGAAAGTGAATTGTTAGCATATTGCATGCTGATTCAAGGATGAGAAAGTGCTGGACAGTAGTGCCCGGAGTGTCTTACTCCAGCAAAAACAAACTGGCCCAATAAGTTCCAGGCAGAGAGCAAAGTCCTGAAAGTATGGACCCCAAACCCCGTCAGTGGAAGGTGCTGGAGTCTGCAGACGGCTTGTGGAAGGTGTTAGTGGGGTGAGGGCATCTAAAGGGAGTTTCACTGCCTGAAACACATGGTTGATGTTTTAACACCAATGGCTGTTCTCCCAAGGCTTCCTATCTGCAGAGGATTCTCTGTGCAGTGAGTGTAAGTAGAAGTATGTGTAGTCCAGATCTTCTCTTTCATGGAAAGCTAGCTTCCGTTTAAAAAGGAAAAAGAAGAAGGAAAAAAAAATGTGAGAAGTAAATGTTTTTGGCTGAAAATGGGAAATGGTTGCATTAATCTTTGCTGTATCCGCGGATGAAAATGTGTATTGATAGTAGGATAACAGCCTGGGTATCTCTAGGACTGCTGCCACCCCTGTTTCTCTGTAGAGAAGGGCATCCCTGACAAATCTTGTGCCCCCTCGCTGAAAGAAAAAGAAAGCCTTGCTCCTACCTCTTGCTTTGGGTAGAGCAGTGAACTAGAGAGAGAGAGCAAGCGAGCACGCGCTATGGGAACTGGAGTCTTACCATGCCCAGTCTAATTTTGACCTTGCCTATGCTGTTGCTCATTTATAAAGCGGGATTTTCCAAAGGCTTTGTGTCGTTATCCTGCCTCACTGTTTAAACACTGGTAATTACGAAAAAAAGAAGAGCAGAGAGGAGACAGAGCAATGATCTTTGACCCAGCCATGGAGGAGACTGGTGGTGAAGTGGGGGCAGAACCCAGATCTCCTGCTTGCTGGGCTGCCTTTCCACCCTGACAAAACCAACCATTCCCACTTTCAACACTTCAATGTGGAGCCTTTGCTAGCATTGAGACAGTTTCAGAGGTCCATTTTACTCTGTTCTTTTAGAAGCTGCAATATTCCTTTTTTTTTTTTTTTTATTGCTCAGTGCTATTTTTAAGTACGTATTTTCTGTTCAGGTTCCATTGTAAACACCGTTCCATTAGGAAGCTCCTGCTGCTCACATAGTTAGCCTAAGCCGATGTAAATAACCTAGCAGGCAGTGTGAACTCTGCTTTGACAAGCTGTAGCGCCGAACCCCATGCGTGCGTTCCCTTTCATCAGATGCACGTGCTCTCTCCGTGACTTATATTGGCCACTGGGGGATGTGAAATGAAAAACTACCTGATTGTGAATTATGACAGTAAAAGTTTATAAGCTGCTAAAATGAAGTTATAGCACCTAGGAGCTCAGTCAACTGACAACGTTAAATGATACGTTTTAAAACTCGCTCTGAGACAACGCAGCGAAAGGAACCGCGCAGGCAGAGGTGAGGTGGTGCTGCTCTGCGGCGGGGGGGAAGGCAGCGTGGCACAGAGCGAGCTGCGGAGGAGATTGGGGAAAGCTGCGGCACTGACGGCAGCTGCTCTCCGTTAATCCCAGGAGAGCTAAAAGTAACTGCTTTGAAAAGAAGTGTGTTTACAACTCTAAGAAATGGAGGAAACAGAAAAATGTAAATATATGTATATTGGGAGGTGGGCTGTAATCGTCTGACTGCTGGCTCTCCTGGGCTGTGGAACTGCTCTTTCTCTCTAATTAGAAAATTTTGACAAGATAAGAATGGCATTGGAAGGCTAAAGAGGGAATTAGTGGCCAAAGGATTGGTTAAGGCTGTCAGGTTTGTACAGCACAGCTATGGCAAAGGTGGCTGTTTTTGCTTCTCTCCATTTTAGGTCATTCAGGTGGGGAGCAGCCACTCCATTTAGATGGGTAGGATTTGATACCAGACTTGGAGGGAGTAAAGAAAGGTGATTTTGGGCACGTTGATGCTGGTGTTTTAGTACAGATCAGGAATGTCTTTTGATATGAATCTCCTGATCATCTCTGATTTGCATCACATAGTGATCTTGGAGCAAAAGAACCTGCATTCCTTTTGGATGGGATTAAACCAAAAAAACGCTCATGCCTGATGTGTCCCTGCTGTTAGTGGGAACCGGTCTGTTGTGAACCCCCAGAGCTGTGTACAGTGTGGACATCACATTCTCCGCGCCAGCTGTTTCACACTCTGTATTTGCCGCTATTGCACTTTACTACTTGCTAATGAAGACAGTCTCTCTCTTTCTTTTTCAAAGACAATAAATATCCTGTATTCCCAAATAATGTAAAGGGCCATTACAGCACTACAGAGCTCTCTCTGATATTCTGTATCTAGTGTAACTCCTTTTTCACCTTGGTTTTCGTGTTTTTGCTGTAGCTGATTATGGTACTTCAGGTGCTGATTGTCTTCAAATGCAGACTGACTGGGGCTGACTTTCTTTTTAAGCATCTTTATTTCCATAGCTATCATTTACCACCTAAGCTTGTTTGCAGACTGATTTCAATGGACAACATTGGAAGCAATACAGCTGCAAACTAATGCACAGAAGAATACAAACAGGGAAGGCTCTTGGTGTATATAGGTGGTACCATCCTCTGCTGAACGGAGTTTAAGCTGCCAAAATGTCCCAGATACTAGTGCCAGAAGCCTTGGTAGAAAAAGGCCTGATTCATGCAAATAAACGCTGTGTGCAAGACAAGGACACATTGCAGACTCACGGCTAAAGGCCTAAAGAAACATAAAGTAAAATGTCAGGTAGAATCTTGGTAATGGAGCACCATCCAAGGCACTGAAGAAATGCTTTTTATGTGTTGCTCTTTTCTGGTTTTTTTTGTTTTTCTCCTTAAGAAGGGCCTATTAAAAGCATGAGAGATGTGAATAAGGATTTCTATGGACCACCTTAGTTCTAGCTCTTCCTAAAATTTTCACTCTTGACATTCACTTAGCTATGTGCACAGCATAATATAGAGGGAAGATGGCCCAATCATTACTGTAGGAGCTGTGCAGACTTAGGTTTTCCAGTACACTTCACATTTGTTAGGAAAGTTCTTTAGCCTCTCTAGATGTCTGTTGCCTGTCTGTGAAGCAGGAGCAAAGTACACTGTAGACTCAAAAAAAACAGAGATGCTGTGAGAATTAAGTCTGTATAAATAGCTACAGGCGAGGGTTCAAAGCACCTGCTGTGATTGTGTCTTACACAAAGTTATCTCCCTGTCTTTCATATGAGCCACATCTCAACCTGCAAGGTAAATTAATTCTGCTTCAAATATCTGCTTTGCCAGGCAACTGGTTTCCACACTTGCTGCATGAAGGTAAATTGGAGAGATTCTTCTTCTTCTTGGCTTCCTTAATGATGGTGAACACCCTGGGGTTCTGGACCATTGCACACAGGTATGCGTGAGAAAATGAAAGCTTGATGTTTCATTTGTAGATGTGGGTAGAGAGTCTTGCAAAACCTGTAACCTAGTGTGTAATAAAGAATAGGTAGTGATAGATCACGTTATCATTCAGGGTTCAGACTTTAGTATTTTTCATCTGCCTCGAGGAGAGAGATTTCACAGCAATAATTATGTGCTAAGGTTAAAAAAAAAACCTGATGTAATTAGCCTTAAGTATTTAAAGGGTGTTATTAATATTAAAATGCCTTGAAGAAAGAAGAACATCCTGTTCTTTACAGAAGGACATAAATGTGTTGGCGTGGAGTTTAGATCACAGCACCAAGATGTCTTGGTCATGGAACTGACCTCCACAGCAGATGGCTACTGGTTAATACTGTACGGAGTAGATTCAGCAGAATAACCCTGAAATATTTTCTGATACTCTACTGCGCAATGAGAGAAAAGCAACTTTCTGCTTGAGACAATGGAATTGCTCAGTTAGCTCCCCCACAGGAAGCAATTTTATGCCACCTCTAGACCCCATGTTTAATGCCTGTATATTGCCTGTAAAATGCAAGAAACTCACCACTGCAGTGCCCTCTTACATCCAGGGTGGTTTGAAAGTTAGTCTGCCTCCTGTATTGCAGAATATTTAATCACAGTTCACTTTATCTTGTCAGTGTTTTAAGTAATACTCGTAGTCAAGAACAGGGATGGAAGCAACCTGTACCACCGCGAGTGGGAAGGGTCATGAACAAGTGGCATTGTCTCGTAGACAGTGGGCTGCAGTTTTATGGAAATACGTCAGAAACCTTAACGAAGTAGTCATTTGATAATGGCAATAACAGAAAATTTCCAAGGGCAGTGTGCTTCTAGAACTCTTGAGAAAAATACTGCTTTTTCTGTTACATATAGCACTAGCTTTGTAGCACCAAAGATTACTGTAACCTCTTGTCCATTTCAATGTAACCTGAGACACAAGTGTCCATTTATTCCAGTGGCTAGTTCTTGATTCTGTTTTAAATGTGACCTGAGTTCTGATTAGAAATGTTTCTCCTACATGTACATTGCCTTCCTTCTATAAAATAGGATTTTATGCTTCTGTGAAATGAAATTTTCATTTGTGACATTTACTGCAGAAAGCTAAAAGGTTTTGGCTGCCAAAAAGTGGCCATAAATTTGAGTTCAACTCCACAAATAATTTCACCACAAATTAACAGATTTTTAAGAGGAAATTTGTTGACCTCCAGTCTTCCTTAAAAAAACCCCAAAATTTATTTCAAATTGGTATTTCTGTGATTCTATGATTTCACTTCAAAATCAAGGTACCTCGTTTTTCAGTAAGGCAACCAAAATCTACATGAAATATATTTTTTGAGGCCAAATGTAATTGTTTCATTTTGTGCTGAATAAGAATTCTCCCGCAGGGGAGAAAAAAGGGTGAGGACTATTCAGATAAACACTGATTTAGGGGTGAGGGGAAATCGGGCTTTTAAACTCTGAATTAGAAAAAATATACTAAAATTTCTCTGAGGAAAAAAACATGTTTCTTTTTAAGATGTGTTAAAATTACGCAGTACAACTATTATTAACACCTGCATGCCATTTGGCACTTCTCATCATGAAGTTCTGAAAGGTTCTAGAAAAACGCATATCACTGTCATATTGTTTTGGCTGCTTAGAAGTCCAGGAATCAGAAGGCACTGTAACTTGCAAAATATTACCTAATAAAAAATGGGTGAAGCTAATACCAGAAAGGACAATTATTTCAGTATTTTCCTTCCTTATCCTACCTCCCAGATACAACAATCTGAATCGGGATTACACAAGTGAATTCAGAGGAAGTCTTCCTGAAGAAAAACTTTTGAAGCATGAAAAAGCCATCAAGCATTATGATAGCGTCCTGGAAAGTTCTCCCATTTTGTCTCCTATGGAGAAAACCTGACAAAATTTCACCTTGATTAGACTAAATTTTGATTGTGTTACCAACCAGCTTTCTAACGATAAATTACCTAGCATACTTAAGTGGAATTGCCAAAGTAATTATGAATTATCTTAGAAATATTAAAGTTATTTATAAGTTTACCAAATAGCAGTCATCATAGGATTTGGCCTTGTAGGATACTGCACTGTCGTAATGCTTGTCGAGGACAATGAGAGCTCACTGCCTGGCATGGTTGATGGAGAGAGGCTTTTAATCTCTATAGGGAAATAGATAGGCATCCACATGTATTTGTACTTAGTAATGGTTCAAAAGTAATAAACTCATGTATACATTTGTTTAGCAAATTACTTTGTGACAGTATCATTTACAAATAATTTTGGAGTCTGGTATTGGCTGGTTGACACTTGCAAAGGTGGGTGACTTGTGTGCTCTTTTTGGCTTTGCTACTCATCTGCTATCCAGCCTTCAGCAAGTTGCTTTCTTAGTTTCTCCGTCAGTGAAATCGACTCAGCCGCACTAACCTTCTTTGCAAATCACTTTGAGATCTACCAAAAATATACTAGAAAGTATATACCAGTCATGAGTCCATAGATTATGTCGTGAAACATTGATGCTGAGGCATCTAGTCTTTATTTGGCAGAAGTACAGTGAGATTTGTCATTACTAAAGGATGATATGCAGAAAATTGCTAGTAGGAGAACTGGAGACTAGAATTTATTTGTATTAAAATTACTAATTGTAGCGAGTGAATGTAATTAGGAAAAGAAGACTGGGAAAGGGTAGATGGAGTTGGAAATTGGGGGAAGATTATTAGTAAATGCATTCCACTTTTTTCCCTTCTGGAGTACTGTGTCCGGTTCTGGGCTCCCCACTTCAAGAAAGATGAGGAGCTACTGGAGAGAGTCCAGAGGAGGCCTACGAGGATGATGAGGGGACTGCAGCATCTCTCCTATGAGGAAAGGCTGAACGAGCTCGGCTTGTTTTGCCTGAAGAAGAGAAAGGTGGGCG